GTGCAAATAGACCCACACCCCTTGCGTTTTCGGTCAAATGATTCATCGTCTCCTATGCAAACATGGCTGAATTTAAGTTAAATGCAAGACAAACAGGGTGTCGCAACTCCGTACAGTTAAATAAGGGTGGGATATGTTGCCAACAAAACTAGAACCTTCTCCCTTGTGCCGAAAATTCAAATTTAGTCATGACCGTTTCAAGTTTAACTTGATCGGTGTTTAGCTTGAAAAACGCTATTTCTGAGCCTTTGTGCTTTTAATAATATATTATGCAGCAGGGTTTTATAAACGACATTTTAGTATGAATAAGTTTACCTGCGTACTATACCATTTCTACGACCATTAGTTTTTGGGTCACGTATAATGTGACCGCCAGAATTAACAAACGATCAAACAAAATCCAAAACCCGTGAAGAAAGTACCGGAAATATGCAAAGAGACTTGCAACGGTGGATAACAAAGCTGACGTCTTAAAGTGACACTTTTCGCATGTTTAGAATTGGAATAGAAAAGTATTTAAGTATAAAGAAACTTTCAGAAGCTACTGCCGTCGTTTCGCCAATCATCCTGTTCGCTTCTTCAGAGTTTAAGTGAAACAATTTTAAACTTAAGTTAACTTTTTGAAGAAGCCAACAGGATGATTGGCGAAACGTCAGCACAGTTTGTTTGTATACAACCTACGCAAGAAGAATCCAGAAGATTTGTAAGTAAACTATTTTATATTGTTGAATACGCTACAAACTGTATATTTTGAAATCAAAGTTTTTATTAGAAATAGTATATTACCAACAAGTGCGGTAAACGGCAAAGTTTATAGTGTTGCATACTATACTTTTTCCACGACCGTTAGTATTTGGATACCTTTTCGCAAAACAACACGAAAACATTCACTGGCATGACCATCAGAACTGACAGACGTCAAAATTCAAGGAGTGAGAAATATCTTCGAAAACATCCGATTGCACCTAAACCCTTGAGGTAAAATCCCGGAAATGTCTGAAGTGGCTCGGATCCGAGGGAAAGTGACGCTTCCCGCACGCTAGATCGATATGTAATTGTCATTTTATAGACGGAACTAGAAAAGAAATATTTTTTGAAATCTTTCACTTTAGCGACGTCTTAGAAAATACGAATCAAGTAACTACCCCATCGCCAGTATAAATTTTATATTTTAGGGAAACAACCGCATATTATAGGTATTTTCTAGTTTGGGTCTTTCACTTTGTGAATTATTTTAATCCAACGCAGTCACTGACTTGTGCAAACCGGAATATCTCATAAAAAAGGATAATAACGGATATTATGCCATATTATATACCTGTAGAACTGTAAGTCATATAACACCGAATAACCAAATTTAATGGTTACATATTTCTTACAAAGTCTTCGTTAAAAGTCGATTCACTAACCAAAACATAGGCGATATCTGGTGTCGACAAAACTAACTAACACGGATTCAGATTCTGAATCAATATCCACTGAGATAGAGTCGTTAACCACCAATAATGGTGGTGAATCGTAACAACAATATCGTCCTTCTGGGGGGTATGGGAGGTTTTTGGAGCAGACCCGAGGTACCTAGGGCAAGGACAAGGACACGAACAACAACTTTTGGGAAAATTGTCCCAGGCAATTGCGTCTTTTGCTGCATTTTTATATAAACATAAAACAAGTGGTGTTGAGTCAGACAATTGACAATATGCTGTTTGAGGAAAATTCTTAATAAATAAAAAAAAATTACCGATTTAAAAACCGTAGTACAAGACATGCCGCATCATCGGTAGCGACCATATCGGGTATAGCTATTGAAACAGTAATGCAGACAGCATGGTGATCTAACAAGGCGAACACATTTCTAGAATTTTACCATAGGCCTTCTTGCCCTGAAATTTTTGGTAATTATCTAGGAACCATCGCTAAATACAAATCTTAACGAATACCGTTTTGTATTATATGAGTATATTTTGTTATTGTGTTATATTATGTTATTCATTGAGTGTTATATCATTATGTTCTGTATGTTAAGCTCGTATATCATTACATTTATTAATTAGAATTAATTAGATTTAATAATTGATTTTACACCATTTGCAAAATTACACATATATTTTAAACATCTACAGAGTAATATATTCGGATGTATTATTAATGATTAAATGACTTACCTGTAAGGAAGTGCAATCCAAATTATAGATATTGGTCACATCCGAATTTTATAATAAAAGCGCCTAAGTACCCCATTCCAGGCGATCTGCATAGGCAGCAAATGAAGACAGAGTATCTGAGGTACTGGAAGGCAACGCTTTTTAATTTAGTGAATAAAATTTGAAACAAATACTACCAATCATTATTAAAATGTTTTATACGAGTATATATCCAGCTATATAAAGCAGACGCAGGTTTTGCCTCTTAATTAATTAAATTGCTGCTATCTGATAACGTTGGCTTTGGAAAAAGAACTTCTAAAATCAATCAAATTAAAAATTCAATCTCAACTTTTCAAATTATTGTTGATGTACTAAAACAAGCACTTAACTAAATATAAGTATTAAATTCCAAAAAACTACAGTTACTTGTATCAATAATGTAAAACTGTTTCTTTCTTTTTCCTTTCATCTCATGATACTTGCTCTGATTATTCTAAGGCCATAATAAATTCACATTTGAGGCAGCGTATTTCACTACTGACTGATATCATAAAATAAATACGTCCGAACCGGCCTACGCCCCTGTCATAATGCGCTGGATTCAGATCTTCCTATCCTCGAAGAAGTATAGTACTTATTTCATGGCGAGTTTGGATTTATACTGAGGAGTAGATTTTCCCGTCATTAGAACCATCGATTGCCTCAGTCTCGGTATACTCTACCGAAAGAATTCCCTCCTTCAGCTCACTTTCCACTACACTGTCTGTTATTCTAACGGACGGCTTCGGCTCAAGATACGGCCTTATTTGTGTAGTAAAAATAAAATACAGAATGCCAGATTTACATTAAAAAAATATGAAAATAAAAAAAAATCTGTTTTTTATATGAACGTCGAAACAACACCAATTAAGAAAATATGTTTAGCGCTTGAATTGAGCAGTTTTGAATCGTAGGATAAGAGTCATTAAATTGGCGTTCGATCTGTTCCAACTTCAAATAGCCTCGGGCTCTACAGATACAATTATCGTTAAATTATTACGATTGACCGTTTCACCTGAAACACTTCAGCAAAGTATATTATATAAATATATTTTTTTTCTATTTGGTAGTTGTTGTAATTTTTGTAAAATAAATATTTGTATGTTTCCAAAAGAACATTTTCACAAGAAAGGACGATGTCATAATGCGCTTAGAATAGAATCTATGTTTTTAGTATAGTAAAGATTAAGGGCTTGTCGGTTTTTAATAATGTAATTATCGAGTTTTGCATTTCAAGGCTTAAAAATCACCAGAATAACAGAGAATACGATAACCACGTGGCTGTAAAGTTAACAAAAATAACAATTGTTTAATTTGTCAATTTTAAATGGAAAAGCACGCAATTGAAAAAATGGATACGTGGATTAAACACGAAGACTTGATTGTAAAACCATAATTTCCTGCTAAATTGGTTTATCGATTTTTGTTATTCGGCCCACGTGTCGGTTGTTCGTCTATTATTAACGATGCAATATATTTCCTCGCATATCCAAACCATGTCATAAATAGTGATCTAAAGAACATTTACATTATTTTTCAGATTGTTATGGGCAGCTAAGCGGCCAAGTTAACTGCAGTTGCGGGCATATTTTTTGTCCGTAAATTCGTGATTAAGGTGACCCCTGTACGCCACGGGAATTCAAAGGATATTTGAGTATTAATTTACAACCTACTTATTAAATTAAAACAACCTGTATCTTGAGCATAAAAGACTTTTGAACTTGTATTTGATTCTCCAATGCGCCACTGGAGTCAAGTAATGTTCTGGTTGTTGAAATTTTTGTCACGTAGCTAAAACAATTAATTAATCATTTTAAATTAATTTTTGAGTAATAGAGTGCCAATTTAACTGATATTAAGCTAAGAGAAACTTTTCGGTTATGAAAAAATGCCTTGGTCTTATGGCTAAAGATATCTACATCTATATCGGCAAATTTTAAAAATCTTAATCAAAAACAGGATAAAATGTGTACATAAAAAGACTGTAATCGTTATGCATCGAAAAGATTCGTCTAGTCATTAAACCTTCTTGTGAAAAATAGCTTCGAATATACAAAGTGAGTCATTTGCTGGATAAAATTGCGCACCACTCCCACTCGAAAATTCTGAAAACATACCTTATGGTTAATTAAAATCGCTTTTTATGCCTTTCGCGATCGGACACGTAGGCCGATAGTGCAATAGCCAAGGTTACTATCGAAGCTTCTCATAACTTGCCAACCCAAATTTTGTTTAAAGCTCACTCGCCGGCAATGTGGCATAGTAATGATATATTAATCAATTAGAAGTGTATTATAGAGTATTGAGGAATAATTAAAAATTATACAGTGGATGAAATTGAGGTATAGTCAGACAAAAAAGACAATGTAATTTGACAAAACTCAACTCAAGAATTGTTTCGATTAACTGTCGTCAATATAGGTAACTACACGATTCATATTTTTTTTTTAACGCTGACGGAGCTAAGCAGATCATTTTCAACAACTTTCCTTCCGACGCTGTGACATTTCCCCGCGCACTAAAATCAAAAAGCGAGGTACAAGACAGCGAACTTTTTATGGCATCCTGCTCATTGTTTCGTGCTGCAGGAGGATGCAGTAATTGCATTCGACAGGAAATGATTTTATGCGCTACACGCCTGCTAATTCTTGAGACGCAGACACATAAATACAATGTTATTTGACAGGGACGGATTGTTAGGAAGACGGACAATTTTGTTGTGTTGTGAAAACTGTACTCTACGCTATTGGACTGAAGTCGAATTTTGTATAGATCTAGCAATCGCCTTTCAATTACAACACAAGTGAGATCTCAGTAGTTTTTAATGACGCAGGTTAGGTTAATTTAGCTATCATGTATGTTTTATTTTGAAGATTTCACGATGACACTCATGAACAGATGCTCAATGCCCTGAGATTTAAATTGGAAATAATTTTTTTCTTCTAAATCTCAGTTCAACGCGGATTTTTCGGCAAGTCATCAACTGTTACTAAATTAGTAAACTTGCCGGAGTTCGTGATATACAAAGCAGGAAGGGTCTGATCTATACGGACTCATTGTTCAAAGGTTCCGATCAAATAAGGTAGTTTCTTTTTATATAAAAAAGTTCAATACGGCTCGGACTTATTTTTTACAATAATATAGTCTAATTGGTCCTGTATATCCAACACATAACTTAAATAAAGTGAATTGTGCGATTTTGTAGTTGTCAGTTGCGAATAATTCGATCAAAACGATAAAGTATAAAAAATGTAAAAATGGTTTTCAACTATTTTTTTAGGTTAGATGTAATTTCTCCTCAAATGGGCATTAATGATGTGCTTCCATAATATCCCTCTATACATTTCTTGATAGGCAGCCCTAATTTGTGAACTCGGGTATTGGTTAAGTCCTACACAGAAAGAGCAAAATCTAATATGCTCACTAACTCTCGCATTTACAGTGCTTGTTATGACATTAATAAAATGTCCATTTAATGCCATATTCCTGTTCTTTATATCAATTTCAAAAAAGGCAGATGAATCCTTTTAAGATACAGGTATGTTCGATTTGGAGTTTTTGCTTATTGTTCTTTAATTTTTTTTTGTTGGGCAATAAAACAAATTTGCGGTCTTTTGGACACTCGTATCTCAAAATTGTGCACTATTTTTGGAAGTTCGAGATACGAGAGAGTGTTTTTATTCCTATTTTGCTTACATTGCAAAAGCCTATTTTTTAAAAGTAAAACCCGCATTTAATACATTTTTTATTGATATTTGTTGGGTATTAAATTGCACTTTTTTAATAATAACTCTTTTTTTAACCCGTTTATATAAAAAAAACTGGCAATAATTTGCTTTGGGTGGCAAATGAAGCGCATTGTTTTCTAAAATTTTAGAAGACCTGTGCTATTATATTTTACATATTTGTGTTTAGGACATTTATTTTTCCAATTATTCATATTAATGGTCACGAATGACAGCCGCCGACCGTGTATATGATGATTGAATATTACTTGATTTGATCAGGTTTAGGTTCCAAAATGTGAGAAAATGGAAGCAAGAGAGTCAAATATTTTCAAAACACATTAAAATCAAAAATTCTCAGCCTTCTTTTATACTTTTAATTCATAGCAATAAATTTTCATTATTGTGGTGATTGGTTTACCATCCCTGTATAATAACCATTATTCAATTCAAATTTGCAGACATTTATTGACTTCAACTGGTCATAGATTCAAGCTTTATTATTTTCAAATTTTATTTATTGTCTTACATATTTAGCTACTAAACTTCCTTTGTGTCTCCTTGCTTATGAAACGCTGTGCAGTGAAAATTGCCAAGTAACCAAAGCAGAGGGTAATTCAAATTGAAAGCCCATTCGAAAACTCAAAAAATATAGGAGATACGATGATCGGTACATTCGAGTGAGTAAACAATATGCCGTTTAGAAACTTCTGAAATTCCTATAATAGCGAAATCTGCAAAAAAAAAAAAGCGTTTCTTAGTGATTCAATCGAAGCACAATTTCTTGCGTTTAATTCTGCCAAGAACACGTTTTTACAGGTCAGTTCGTTTGCTAATTTTGCTAAAAATGCTATATATAAGTTCCAAAACAAGAAAGTTGGCATTCATCCGGAAGAATAGAATATTTGGAGTAAATAGAATATTTATTTGCCCAAACACAAAGGTCTTTTACAAGTCACAGGAATAGAAATACGCAGTTAAGTTTTCGTGGTAAAGTAAGGAGTTCCAGGCTTTCGCTCTACAACTTCGTCTGAGCGGTGCTGCGTTTGTAAAACCCATAAAAGTATCCTAAAAGGCTGGCCATCGAGGCGTTTAACAAAGGTGGTCTCGCTTGAATTTCAGCTATCACTATCTGGCATTCATACTCAGAACAAAACGCTACAACAACAAAGTTGCAATAAATAATTCAAGTTGTAACACCCGGCTGTACCTTTTTAACGACCCTAAAAGCGCAGGAATGATCGTGATGTCATACCGCTGCTTTTCGATCGATACGGCGACATGTAATTCTCAGGTTATAGGCCGAGACTTATATTATTTCCGTTTATTTTTGGCTCGCGTAAAGGTGTGTTTGTATTTAATCTACCGCAGTTTGTATTTGTTGTTAGTGTGCTTTGTGCCATCACATTTGAGTACAAGCCGCAAAACGAAAGATAAACTTTTTATTCGTCTACCAGAAAATAAAACATTATGTTCAGGTGTCACTTTAGTTTAGTCACTTTAAGTTTAATTAAAATATAAACTAATAAATAAAATATACTTTAAAACCACTACTTCAAAGAAATCCTTTTTGTTTTTTTTTTGTTGAATAATTTACATTTTATATGATATACTACTTGAATTTTGAAAACTAGAAAACTTTAAGCTGATAACTAGTGGCTATATTATCTATCTACATATCTTTTAGCTTTAGCACCGCGAACTTCAGGAAAAGAAAAACTTTCGGTGTTTTATATGTAAGATGTCATCATAAACATATCCACTCAAGGTAAATTATCAGATTGACCTTTTGAAAAATGAGATTCGGTCATTTTCAAAACTTTCGTGTTGATACTAGACACAACATAACAAAAACAAGAGACAGGATCAACACTAAAATTAAAATTAAAACAACCAAGACGAACGCGTTGTCGTTCTCCAATGGCTTCTCTATGCTACCGTCCGGCTGGCGCGTAATCTTACGAGCGAATTGACGTCACAACCGGTCAAAGGGGATTTAAATTTTACAATTTTTGTTACATAGAACTACAAAATTATTTTTTTTTTGTGAACTGTGGTTCATTTAATAGTATAAACTTACTTTTATAATCAATATTTTTCAAATTTAAATTTTCTTCAAGTTCCCTATTATCAAAGGGACGCGACGTCAAACAACATGCTTTAAAGAAAACAACACGAAAACATCCTGAATTTCAATTACCCCGTATAAAAAAAATGTCGCATTCACCGCGCATATAATTGACGATTGTCGATGGTAGGTATTGTCTATATCGTGCTTTTTGGGTTAGAAAAATCGCCGACGCAAGAAAACTCAGGAAACTGAAACAACCAAAGGCGCTTTCACCTACAATAACCTAATTTTCTTCGGTCGCCGAAAAATCAATTTTATCTCCCACGGGAAGTTCTTTCGCATGGTTCATACAATTAAGCGGTTCGGTTTTTTCGTCGTTGCCCATAAAACCCAAAGGACTATAACTCTTTACGAATCATATTATATTTTTCGATAAAGACAGTTATGACATTTCAGATGTAGTAAATGCGCACCCAAAAATGGATTGGGATCGCTTTTCAAGCTTTTATCAGAAAATTGCCGTCGCTAGACTTCCTCGATTAGAATTCTCGATTTTCTTTGATGCCACCATTATAAAGTGTATTTTGGAGTTGTTTATGTCAGATTGGCAAACTCTGAACTGCTGGACACCAGACACAGGAAAAAAAAATCGTATTTTATTATTGGTACTGACTAAAAATCAAATGCGATGGCTTTCGATTGGCTTTACCAGCTTTGCGAAATATTCCATTTGTTGGGAATTAATTTGATGCCTTTTAAAGTTTCACTAATTTTGGCACATAAGTATAATATACAAGATTTTTATAAGCTAGTTTTTACAAGCGTGGAAAGTGATATATAAACTAGGTGCAGAAAATACACTGTTTTTGTCTACGAGCGTATGGAAAACAAAAAAGTTTAAAGAAAAACAATAAAATTAACTGAACTTAATGGAGTTTCATTACTATAAAGGAACAACATCAAAATATTTTATTTTAGTTTACTTTAACCCTACTCGTTGCTATTAATTAATATTGAGCGAAAATCTGCAGTTCATAGCATGTTTCAAATTGATCGCTGATGCCCACAAATTTTTTGGAGCCGCAGCAGCGGTGGCTGTTGAATTTGTGGTACTAACCGAAGTAGATTTTCGAGACTGGATATGGCGAATTTGATTTTTCAAAAGATTAAAACAGCAATTTTCGGCAATTTCACAAAATTGCCGAAAATTTGTTGCTCGTAGAAAGACCGTATTTTAATTTGATTAGTAGAATTCGATGCCATTTTGGAAGTTCTGTCAATCATGTGCATACAAAACCACCAGCAAAACCACATGTAAACCCGTTTTTCAGAAAGCAACTCTAGTTTTGGAATTAATAGTTGTTTGAATGTAAAAAAAATCAAATTATTTAACTTTTTGAAAAAATATTTTAGGTTTAGAGTAATGTTTTGCATTTATAAAACCGCAATATAAGATTTCAAATTGTACAATTTTATGTTAATATAACTAGTAGGCGCACTATTTATTTATTGATTCCACTTTACTTACGAACACTACCGCCACTTACGACCAGCTTGCATCAATAAAAAAATTAGAGCAACTCCGGCAAAAATTAATATTATATTGTCAACAAAAAGGGCAATTGAAAAACAGGAAAAAATCCTAATTTAAGACTCGCCAAAGGAACACAGTTTTCGTAATAAGAAAATTAAAGTTTTGTTGTAAAGTCTGGGAATCGATTTATCTATTATTTGTGGTTTCAATGCATTTTAACATTTACGAAGATTAACAATGTTTTTTTTATTCATGTTCTGCTTTATACTTAACTACCGAATTATGTGTTTGTATTATTCAAATTTTTTGCGTTTAAATTGATTACGACTAAATGTCTAACGTAAAGAACACCTATAAATCATAGATGTCTTATATATAGCTTATTTTCTCATGGTGTTGCGGTTAGTGTAAAAATCTAAGAAGTTAGGGCATAATCAATCAAACGCCAACGACAATGAAAATACATATGTAATGGTCGAACCAATTTCATGTCCTTGATTCCG